GCGCTGAATTCAATGCTGTTTCGTCGGCACCATGTAACAAGCGTCGGCAAGTGAGAGGGAAATATGCTTATGCTATGTTAATGTTAACTTACATACTGATAGCTTTTTTATCCGAAAAATTGATTTTGTTTTTTCAGTTTTATTGGGACACTTTTAGAGTTGCAGACTTCAGATTTACTGCGTATATACAGTTGATCATTTCGCTTCATGCGGTCGACCGTGATGGTCAAATGTTAAACGAAAGATGCCTCCATGATCAATATTTTTCTTGCTCTCTCTCTCTCTCTCTCTCTCTCTCTGCTCTTTGCTCTCTCAAATATGTATGTATATGTGTGTATGCATGTGAGCACAATCATCAGATCATGAAATTTCTCCGCTTTAGACTGCCGTTTCTTCCCTTCTGTGTGAAGAGCACACCTAACTCTTCAAATCGTTTGTTCATGCAAATTGTTTGCTTTTTTGTTATTATTTATGGGAAGGGTATAAAAACGTTGGTGCGCATAATGAAAATGTTTTCGTGTTGAGCACGCACACACACACACTGTCCCTTGCTACATGTACTATGAGCAATTTTATGCCTGTGTGCGAAGCTCTGGCTGCTTGTAGCAATTTTAAAGCCCAGCATTTGCATTTGGTCGATCTTGTGAAGTCCTCACATACATATGTATGTATGTAGATGTGATTGTGTGTACGCATGGGATGTGATGCTCACAATTATGGGATATCACTTGTAGAAGCATTTGTATGCCTGTGTGTGTGCATGTGTGTATGCATGGGACATGAACATGGCGTAGGCTTACATTTTAGAATGGTGTGAACGATTTTGGGCTTGAATTGCAGAATCGCGTTTATATTTAAGTACCTTATTTTGTATCAATGATCGTGTGCTTGCCTATCGAAGTCATGAATTCATAAAAACAATTGTTTTAAATAGGAATCTGTTTAATATTATTTAATAAATTTAATGAATATAAAAATAGAAAACAAAATGCAATATGTAAAAAACAAATCAAGAAAAAGATGCTGATGATGTAAAACTTTGCCTTCCATACTCCAGGGCAAATGGACATATTCACCTTCAAGATGACCTAAATACATTTCAACTTTGGTGTGCGGCAAACCAGCTTGACCTAAATTGCTCAAAGTGTATGACAATGACCTTCAGTCGTACCGTTCCTCTAATTGTTGATTATAAAATTAGCAATATTTCCTTAGAACGCATCTTTACAGTCAAAGATCTTGGTGTGTTCTTTGACTGTAAACTTAACTTTAATCTTCATATTTCTACCATCATTAATGAAGCCAAAAGTGTGCTTGGCTTTATTAAACGTTGGTCTAAGGAATTTAAAGATCCGTTTATTACCAAGCGCTTATTTACTTTGCTTGTGCGTCCTATCCTAGAGTATTGCTCTGTCGTATGGTCTCCGCAACATAAACTGTATCAGGATCGTATCGAATCGGTCCAAAAACAGTTTCTTCTCTTTGCCTTAAGAGACCTTAGATGGGACAGTAATTTACGATTACCGTCTTATCATAGTAGGCTCCAGCTAATTGATCTTCCATCGCTAACCAATCGCAGAACAATTTTAGGAATTGTTTTTCCGCATAAATTGATTAGTGGTGATATTGATTCGTCCTCTTTGTTGGGTCGTCTAAATTTTTTGGTTCCGTCCCGAGCAACTAGACACTATCGTTCGCTTCATTTACCTGTGTGCACTAGGGATTATTCTTTGCACAGTGCGTTTCATGTTCTTTGTGTTAATTTTAATAAATATTATCACGTTTTTTCCTTAGAGCTCTCTCCTCCTAAAATAAAAAGTTTACTATCAGCTTATCTTAGGGAAATCACTCACAATGCCCAGGCATAAGCATTGGCATACGTTTTTGCTGCTAATGTTGTGTTAGTGATTTCTCAATTCTATTCTTATACTCTATTTTTGGCTCTTCCCTTACCCTTTTCTTTTTATTATTTCTTATTCTTTTTATTAACTTTTCTTGCAACTTCTTTTATTACCGTCCTTTTTCTTTTTCTATACTTTATCTCTTCTTATTTTATTCTTTTTTTCTTTTTTTTTTTATTATTGTTTTTTTAACTCCTTTCATTTTATTTATTTATTTATTTTTTTTATTATTATTATTATTATTTTATTTTTTATTATTATTTTAAGAATTATTTTAATTATGCTAGATATTGTTTATAACCTACATTTTAATATTTTATTTTTTTAAGCTTTTTTACTAACACTTTCTTTTCATAGCTTCAATAGTATCACTGACCATATTTGGCTGTGAGACGTGGGCATAGCCGGCCGGACTGGCAAATAAAATACCCCCATCGGGTTGGTGTTACTATTGAAATTATATCGTGTACTTTGTATAGGCTTTTTTAAATTAAAATTGACTCTCGTTCTTGTCAATAGCATTAAGAAATAAATAAATAAATAAATAAATAAATAAATAAAATTAAAAATAATAAACATTTAAGTGATAATATAAGATCGTTTAGCACACCCTTTGCAGATTTAGTTCGAAATCGCTCGCACAATTAAAAACCGTGGCAGGCACACGCCACTGTTCACGTATTATGAACATACTCACTTACAATATGCCACAGGCAACAAGAATAGTTTCCCACACTAACACATAATGGCAATTACCTTGAACACATACATATATACATTTGCATATGTGTGTGTATGTATGGGATGGGAAGATAATTGCCTCTCGATTTCATAGTTTGTTAATTTTGTATGGTTCGAATTGTAGAGTGACTTTCAAATGAGCCTTTATGACTTAATCAGTAATTTTAGCAATAATTAGTACATGAAGTTTCTATAGTCGCAACCCGATATATTGCAAAGCATTTAATAAACTTTTTAGTGTATCACGATAATTTTTTCGGTTGAAAATGTGCAATTATTGTTGGCGAGTATTTGTGCGCGAGTGGATGAGAAGAACCGCAACGTTTGGTTGTTCTAGTGAGACTGATTTTATTATGCTTCTTAATAGCACTAACCAGAGAACACATAAACTAGACATCAAGAACAAATTTTTTCAACGACGAAAAAATGCGCTGAGGAGACTAGACAACTTCGTATTTGCTCGGCTCAGTCTCTTGAGGCTCGAGCAGTGAAAATATTGCACGACAAAATCAGCGTGCTGCAAGCGCTCAAACGAAATGGTGCCATTCTTATATGAAGCCCGGCTATGTGCTATTTGTCCTACTCTCTCTCTCTCACTCTATATCTCTCTATGGTCTCTCAAAAAGCAGCAGCGCACAGAAATTGAAATTCGCTACGATCCCAGCTCATTCCTTTTGAGTGAAGGGTATACAATAAAAGCGCATACAACGGGACCATTTCGTTTGCGTGCTTGTAGCGTACTGATTTCGTCATGCTATCTTTCATTACCCGAGCCAGCAAATACCGAACCCAGCGAATACGAAGTTATTTGGTACCTACTAGACAGATTTTTCGGTGTCAAAAAAGTTTGATCTACATATCTAGTCTATGTGTTGTCTGGTTAGTGTCGATACGATGAATTTGAATATCATGCCCCTTCGCCCACAATTTGTAAAAAACGCATTTCAAGTACTAGAAACTTGTGGTTTGGAATGTACACACATTTTAACCATATGATCATCTACAAGAAAAAGTATTCAACTAATAAATTCTCATAATATTGTCGCTGCTAACTGCGCAGTTAGCAGGGCGCATTCTTATAGGTACGTGTGGATGCATGTGTATGTATGTGTACATAATAGAAGTGCTGAATGATTAGAATATCAGCTGGTAGAGTGCAGGGTATCTCCTAGCCGAGCAGTCTCTAAAAGAGCATCCTTCCTTGTTTTGTTTTGATTGAGAAATTAAACCGGCAAAAAAATAAGAAATGTATTTTTTCGCTCCTTCTGGCTTAAGCCTCCTACGAGGAACGACGTAAAAACGTCGGTCTCTTGAACGCCGTTATAAACGGATTCCACTGTAATTAGAAATTTTTGTGTACAAATACGGTGCTTCTAATACCAAGAAATATGATTACAAATGAAATACATACATGTACATATGTTTATATATGCAAAATGTTATATTTATATAAGTAATATGTTCACCTCTGACACTCACATATACAGTTTTATAGTCGAGCAGAGTCGACTAAGAGATACCCTGAACCGTGCTAAGGACTGATACTAAAGCTCGCAAATGAGTGTTGATCGATTTTTCTTATATGCTCTGCTTCGTAACGTAAAATTACAGGCTATTTTTTGATATGCCACGCCCCTAAAGAGGCGTAAAAATTATTATTGGGTTATAGATAGATGAGGTTACTAGAAACTTAACTATCCCCATATGGGCGGACATATATCCGACGAAGCTTTTGGTCTTGGATGGTCAGCCCGAGTATATATACAAAATTTAAGGTCTCCAGCATCAATAATTGGGTTAACGACGGTATGTAGATATATAGATCCGACATTCCACATTGCAGCTCTTACACTAATATGATTTCTGGCATATCGGAAAATTCATTTTCCAATTTGCCACGCCCCTAGTGGGCGGATCGGGAAAAGTTTAACACTTTATAAATCGGAGATATACACGAGTATGTGTTCCAAATTTCAAGTCTCTAGCTTCAATAGCGGACAGACGGACAGCAAGACGGATTGCACACAACCAATGTACTAATTCACTTTCGTGAATGTGTATAATAATTTACTTTCCCGAATGAGTATAAAAATGATAACTATCTCGCTCAGAGGGCGAGCGAGCTAAGCCATACGCGACAAAAATGTTTATTTCTTGTCATGGTCTCAGCGCGGCAGCCTAATCTGCGCAGCTCTTTACATAAAAATATTTATTTTGACTCGCAAAAAACATTTTCAAGTTTGCAATTTGGTGAAAAGTTCGTACACACAAAATTCAGTTCATACCGTATTTCGTTCGTCCCCCTATAAAAATTAAAGTGTAAATGGTGTATAATCATTACCAATAAGAACAGAGAAACCATGTGCTTTGAAGCAGTAACCAACAAGTGTTTGTCGCGTGCAGAGAAATTATTAATAATGAGTTTTAAAGTTCAGCCAAAGGGCTTTGCCACTAAGTCTATTCACGCTGGTCAGGATCCGGAGCAATGGAAGAGTGCTTGTGTCATACCACCTATATCATTGAGCACAACTTTTAAACAAGATGCCCCGGGAGAGCATCGTGTAAGTTACATTTACGAAACTGTAAGGGCTAATCGGCAGCCTTCGGCACAATCTAAATATTTACGCAATTAAAGTACTAGGTACGTATATACATATACACATATGTTCATTTTTGTGTATATATATGTATATATGTATATACATCTATGAATATTTAGATTATGTCGCTAGCTGCTGATTAGCTTTTATATATGTATATTTACATACATATGTATGTATGTACATACATATGTATATATGTATGTATATGTAAAAGTATAGGCACACTAAAATATCAAACTTCTAAAGCTAGCTACACACGATGCAAACAATTTGCCGCAAGTTGATTGCTGCAATCAAATTTGCACGTTTGAACACGAGTGCAAACATTTTGCTGCAAACAAAAAATTTGCAATAACTGTTTGCGGCAACATTTTTTGCTTGTCTGAACACCGAATTTTGCCGTTAGCTTGGTTGCGTCAGTTGTTTGCTTGCTTGCATGTGCTGTTTGCTTTCAGCCGCAATATTGCAGCAAGCAAAGCAAAATGTGGGATCGCGAGAAAACGATTGAATTAATTGAATTTTTATGGGATGTTTGGTCAGCAGACTTTAAAAATAATTATAAAAAGCAAAATGCTTATCGCGAAATTGCTAAAAGAATTGTACTTTTTCTAATAAAAAATTGAAATCACTGACTGACATGCGAAAATTGTAATTGTTTTTTTCATCACCATATTGTAGCTCTTTTAAAAGGTTCTGATGCACTCATTTTTCATCTCTTTTAGTAATCCACTCTTTCACCCAACACTTTTTTTTTTTTGGCAGACTTTGATCTTCTCATTTTTTTGTTTTATCAAAATTGCTAATATAGCAACAGCAGCAACTCTCGATTGTTGTGCCGACATAATATAAACACGTCGTTATTCCTTGAATTTTTCAATTCCACTGAACTTTCAAATGAGTGTCACTTGCAAGCAGTGCAAACAAAAACAAAAAATGAAAATACGTGTAGACATTAATGCAATATATTGCACGAAATAGCCATGCAAAAGTTTGAGTGCAAAACAAAAATTGATTGAAGCAAGTAATTTGCATGCAATATTTGCATTGGTGTGAACATTTGTGCAAACTTTTGCTGCAAATTATTTTCAACTTGCTGCAAATTGTTTACATCATGTGTACCTAGCTTAAGTGCTGTAACTTTTTTTTAACCCAACTATAAATAAATGAACAACTGTATTTATTAAAACATATATTCTACTAATATTTAACGAAAAAAAAAAAAAATTAAAATTGTGCTTTGGTTCACTTGCATAGAACTAAAGTATAAATATGGGCCAAATTTTCGTCAAGTATTGGCACAAAAGGCGTAATCAGTCAATTCCATCGGTAGTCATTCACCCCAATACTTTGGCGGGAACCTAAGAAGGAGCTTCAGGAAAATAACTTGCTCAAAACGGTTAAGCACGGTGGAGTTAATGTGAAGGTTTGGGAGTGTTTTGCTGCTTCTTCAAGCATGTTTAGAGATAGAGGATTGAAGTCCAGATATTCACCTATTAGAAAGAAAGATCCGATATCATCGAAAAACCTCAAAGGATTCTTTAAAAGATGCCCAACGCGCTGGATGGGCCAAAATCATACTTATGAAAATTCAATGCAGGCGGTTATTCAGTCTAAAGGAGGACCCACAAAATATTGGGGTTTTATATGGTTTTAATAAAAATAGTTTTTCATTTATTTATAGCTGTGTTAAAAAAGTTACAGCTCTTAGAAGTTTGATTCTTCAAGTATACCAATACTTTTTTGGTTCACTGTATACTAGAGGCCTGCACGAATGCATTTGAAACTCTAAACGAGACACTCGTGTTTTGTTAGTGCTTGCTGTCTCACAGTCCTGTTAGAGCGTTAAATGAAACAACTCCACATTTGCCGAATTTAAGATTGAAACTGAACTGTTTATTGCTTAAAATCCTAGTTCTTATATACCTAACAGAGACTTTTAAAACTACTTCCAGTCACTGGAAGGGTGCATTTTCTCATACAAACAAGTGCACAGTATCCCTTTTTTAGATCGCTGGGTCCAGGCTCACGTTACATTTACATATTGGTCGCTGCATTGGTCGCTGCAACTAAGGGGTGACATATTTATTACTTTGTGTCGGATAACGCGCAGGTTATCGAGTATTGTCCCTATTTTTATTATTATGTATGTTCATGTTTGAACATTTTGCCAGGGGCCCAAAAATGTTGTGGCTGTAAAAATGTTTATTTTTTGTTCGATGACTCGCAGATCATCCAGTATTGACATGTTTTCAACATTCTGCCAGAGGGGCCAAAAAAAAAAAAAAAAAAATATATATATATATATATATATATATATATATTTTTATTTTTTTTTTTTAAATTTTAATATTAGTTTGATAACGCGCAGGTTATCGAATATACATATATATTTTTTTTATGTTTCAAATTATATGGGACCAGGAAATGTTACAGCTTTTAATCGCCTCTTTACATTACATTTTCTTATTGTATATATGATTAATATTAATGCAATAAAAATACTTATTACATTGAAGCATGACCTGATATGTGATGAAAATGAAGCCCTTTTAATTCTATATGGCTCTCCTTTATTTGCTGTATTGCTATTTGTAAATGCTCAATTTCTTTAGTATGGTTTATTCTTGATAGTTCTAATGGGTTCCTTTTGTTGTAAGTAATTGATATATTTCTTTTACCTGTACCTGTCCTTTTCCCTGGTAGGACTAAATTCTCGGACAAACTTTCTTTTATCTTGGCTATTTCTTCCCCAAATTGGTAAGGCTTCAATATCACCGGGCTCAATCTGCTATGATTTATATCAATTAGCATATTTATTACCCCTGTTTGAATCTTGTCACATTCTTCGATTAAGGAATTTAATTGATTTGTTATCATAAAGAAATTAATTGCTTCCTTATACACATAATACGATTCTTTTAGCAATTCTGTCATATTGTCTATACGTATATTCATGTCAAATAAATGAATATTTATTTCCTCCGTGGTTCTTTTGAGTATATTTGCTGTGGAATCTATTATTGATGTCTATTTCTCACTCCATTTTTTTATGTTTTGTTGGTTGTCTAATAAACTGACCATGTTTTCTTCCATTTGTTCTCGATCGTCTGTATCCATTATCCCAAATAGCAGGTGGTATAATGAGCCCATGAATTCGAAAGGTGCACGTTTGGTTCTTGATTTATTTTGTAGTATAAATAGTTTGTTATTATCATCTAATTCTGCTATTCGTCTTTTTGTGTTATTTAGTATTATATTACATTGGTCCTCGAAACTCTGTAGTTTCGTACACACTGCTCTCATTTTCCCTTCTAATTCACTCCCTTTCTTTAACATGTCAAAATATCATAGCTTGCAAAAAAACTGTTAACACTTTTTCGTTGTCTGCAAAAAAGTGTCTTTCAGTGACACAGTCAAAAAAACTCAGACAGAAAGTGTTTTTGTCGCGTCTGGCTTAGCTCTCTCGCGCTCTGAGGGAGATAGTTGTTTCTGTTTTCGTTTCCTCAAGTCAAACACTGATCGTTTGCTTGAGTTAAAGAAGTAACGGTAAGTTGCGTTTGTATGGGTAATCACGCGCGATTGCTGCGTTCTTTTTGTATGTATGTATGCGTGTATTTACATGCACACGAAGGCAAAAACATTTTCTGCTGAGTTTGTTAGTCAAAGTGTTTTTTGCTGAGAAGCTTTGTGTGAGGGAAAATCGTGTTAGTTTTACGCGACACTCATGTGAGAGCGTCACACGAATGAGTGATCGCATTGCGTCTGAGCGAAACAGATGCTAAAGAAAAAAGAGAGTGACGCTCAGAGAGAGACGTGTCTACACAATTTTTTTTTGGGTATGATGCGAGAAAGAGAATAAACGAAAAAACGCTCAACTCTCATTTGCAAGCTCTGCAAAATATGAATCTAGGTTATAGTAAATAATTAGATCCCATTGGATCTAAAAAGATTGCCGAGTTGTTACCTAATTTGTTAAAATTGTTATCTTGTCGCTTTTCGTTACTTCTGCACTTGATACCTGAAAGAAAAGAGCTAAAATTAGCATTGCCATTAGTACTTTTAGTCTTGATCCTCTTAGGTCTGAGTCTTCATTTTTTAATTCACCCAGCTGACATACTTTATTGATTGGTCGTGTAACTAACCCTTCTTGAGATTTAAATTTTACGACTCTAACTTTATTGTCTTGGCCTTTGTGAACTTCTTTTATTATCCCTAGTGGCCATCTAGCAGGGTGACAATTTTCATCCTTTATTAATACTATTTGCCCTTCTTCTAAATTGGGCATCTCTTTTTTCCATTTATTTCTTTTCTGAAGGGTATATAAATAGTCATTTTTCCACTTATTCCAAAAATCTCTCCTCATTTTTGGATCAGTTTCCATCTATCTAGGTTTCCTATTTTTTCTTCTCCTGTTGACTCCACTTCACTTACTGTGGGTCTACCTATTAAAAAATGGCCTGGAGTTAGTACTTCGATATTATCGATATCATCCCCTGTAGTATATAGAGGTCTGGAGTTTAAGACTGCTTCAATCTGACATAATAGTGTTGTCATTTCTTCAAAGGTTAAATTGCTATCTCCTATTACTCTGTCTTTCACTGACACAGTCAAAAAAACTCAGACAGAAACTGTTTTTGTCGCGTCTGGCTTAGCTCTCTCGCGCTCTGAGGGAGACAGTTGTTTGTGTTTTCGTTTCCTCAAGTCAAACACTGATCGTTTGCTTGAGTTAAATGAAGTAACGGTAAGTTGCGTTTGTATGGGTAATCACGCGCGATTGCTGCGTTCTTTTTGTATGTATGTATGCGTGTATTTACATGCACACGAAGGCTGAGTTTTTTAGTCAAAGTGTTTTTTGCTGAGAGTCTTTGTGTGAGGGAAAATCGTGTTAGTTTTACGCGACACTCATGTGAGAGCGTCACACGAATGAGTCATTGCATTGCGTCTAAGCGAAACAGATG